TTTTTTTTTTTTTTTTTTTTTTTTTTTTTTTTTTTTTTTTTTTTTTTTTTTTTTTTTTTTTTTTTTTTTTTTTTGAATAATATGGATACCCTTAAAAAGGGATGTGAATATAAGCATTGTGTTCTCATGTTTGAACCATCATTGCTTGAACTTTTACAATTTGACCTTATAAAACCCCTTTGAAATTAGTTTTCAAAAAAATTGGTTTCGAATAGTATTTTTAAGATACCTCGGTTTAAAATTTAAACTTTTCATTTTTAAATGTGCATACGCTATTTGAAAATTCCTAGATGACGTCTTAAGCCATCTCACGTGATAAATTTCATATTTTGCACAAATCCCTTGGCGCTACGTATCATTGTACGAAAATTTTTTACAAATAAAGTATATTACTTGAATTCAAGTTACTTTGTGTATTTATTTTTATAAATACAAACAGTAGCTATCAAATAAATAAGTAAATAAATAAAAATGAAATCAAACGTTCCGATACTTAAGATAAAATACCAATTTCATTAAAAATAGGAATCTATGACTTAATAATATCAATGGGAAGTTCTTTCACGCCATGTCACAAAGACATTCGGGAAAGATCCAAGTAAATGCTCCATAGAAAAGTTACGACACTTTTCCTATCGACTGATGCATAGGCTAATGAAGGCTTTTTTTCATTGTTGCCAAATATGTTGATTCCGACCTCGACGAATCGGAAATTTAATTTACAGACGTTAATATGGTAGTTGTCCGAATGGCTCAAATTACTCCGCCAGATTCAAAGCTGTTGCTGTTCCATTTAATTGTGCCAAAATTTATCACCCCTTAATGGCTGATGGGTGGTACCGAAGGTATTGGCCGTCTTAAAGAATGGGACAGATCATTGGACCACATGTATCGTAAAAAGTCATCATACAAACAAAGCATTGATTGGTGTTATGCGTAGTATGCGCAGCACACTAGCGAAGCATTTTGCTTTTTTTTAAAAAAAAATGGATTTGCAATTACGTACACGACTTACCGTATTTCATTTTCACATCTTGCAAGAAATTTTTTTTTTTTTCACCCAATACGCCAATACGTATAGTAACTAATTCCGATCATTCGTCTTGCAGCCCAAACCATTTTAGGAATTTTTGATCTTCAAGTCAACCCGTTAATCTTTGAATTCTGTTGAAATGCTACCTTTGGTATCTATTAATGAACGTAATGCATTAAGTTATGCATTTTTTAATAATTCACATTTTTTTTTCATTTTTATGCATTTTTTATATTGTATTTGATTTTTCGCAAAATCAAGTGGTTCCGCAATTACATTCAAACGCATTGATCAGGTCACGTAAGGTCTTACACCTTTCTTTCAAGACTGCCTTAAATAATATACCTATATTTCATTGGTCGAGCACTCGGGATCTTCCGAATTCTGGCGAGGTCATCATTTTCCCAGTTCCCCAGTACTTGCCATAGTGGTTCCGATAATGTCATGGCTTTACTATAAATATACACTTATATGCATAATTATTTTTGAAAACGACAAAAATGCTATAACCGAATTTTTGGTCCCTGTATTTGAAATAATAAATATAAAATATAAATTCTAGAAGTACAATTATAAAGACAGAAAAATCCCTGTCCGCCTTCGAAAATAATGACTCATATATACAGTATTCTATAGTGTTTCGTGAAATGTCGTTCTGTTGTACGACCTAAATCAGGAATCGCCCTTGTTGGCATCTTATTTCGGTTATCGAGTCACTTTGCGTAAATTGACGAAAGAACAAGTCTGCACTTTGTGGAACTGCATAGAATAACGTAAAAGGAAGTTGGTTACACCGTGACAAGGCAATCATGAAACAATGAAATTTAGTAAACTAAATACAGTACGTATTAAAACACGTGATAATGCTTTCTTACATTATAAATAGTAGTAACTTTTCAGAAACCAAAAGAAAACGAAAAGCTCCCATCATCACTCATTATTACATCGAACCTATCTTATCTTCTTAAAGTATATACAGTATATATAAAGATGGCACAGTCATTATTAAACCACAAAACAACCAAAATTTGTCCACCCTATATTCCAACAGACACCTCCGGGGTCTCAGGCGCCAAAACCTCTTTAGCTCTATTAATCGAAAATTTCAAAAGATCAGAATTAAATCGCGATTTATGCTCTAGGGGGCTGGAGATTACGCAAAAAAGCATACGGGTTCTCGATAGAATTGAGGAACTGTCTAAAAAGTTTTCTGAATATCAAGAACAGAATATTCACTCCGACCTCGTGTTACATAAGGCCGGTGCGTTCGAAAGGTTCCTCGAGAGTAATAAGGAGTTACAAAGATTTGCCAATATTTTGTGGGAAATATTACTTTTTGAGTATGAAACCATTAATTATGAAAGTGTTGAGGTATGACATTTCACTGAATTTCATATAATCGAAAATCTCATTTTGTTTACTCTTTTTCCTTTTCCTTTTCCTTTTTTTTTTTTTTTTGTGAACAGGCACGAGATGAAATGAAAAGACTAATCGAAGAATTAAATAGTGCCACTACCAATTTGCAGGACGCCATCGAAAAGTGGAGGTCAAATCATTCCATGTGGAGCAGAAACATGAAAACAAAGATTATCGCCCTTGTTAAAATTAAGAACATTATGAAAAAATCATCATCCGGTGTTAAATGTTACGAGATCCCCGCGAAAAAATTGGAGCCCACAAGTACAAGTGACATTGCTTCGCAGGAACATACATCTCCTGGACCCGACGATACAGAGAAAAACTCCACATTACGAGGAAGTAGAAAGCACGTTCGACAATATTGGTATCTGGGACATAAAGTGGCCGAGAAGAGCCTAGGAAGTTTTGATGGGATTGATAAAATTTCGGCGAAATTAGATGAGGAAATTGGTTTCATGAACGAACTAAGAAAGCAGAGTTCTAGTTTTTATATATTGAGATTGTAAGTGAAAATCTATTTTTACGCCTTTTGATAAGTTCTTGGTTTATTTTATTTTATTTTATTTTTATTTTTTATTTTTTTATTGATGAATGCAGTTTCGGGTATTGCCTACGTTCGGACAGTTTTTCGGTAATCTGCGAATGGGAGGATTACAATTTGCAAACTTATCTCGCCTCACACGTTGAGTTGGATTGGAAAGAGAAATTAAGCATTGCGCGCGGAATTGCTGATGCATTGGTGAATATTCATGAAAAAAATATATTGCATTACGACGTTCGAACGTGAGTATCGTTTCTGCATTTTGGAATTAAAAAGATCACGCGATTGTTTTAATAATACCCTATTTTTCCTAGTGAGAATGTGCTATTGGATCGTCATTTTCTGCCAAAATTATATAATTTCCGAATTAAGAAAGATTCCCCCGTTATGCTAACCGCTTCGGATGCGCCAATTGATGATCCAAGGTATAGTTCTCCGGAGAGGATTAAGGGTGAAGTTTACAATAAAGCTAGCGAAGTATACAGGTACACCATTCTTGATTTTATAATATGTAAATCTTTTTGCGTATAAATAATTTTTATAATTGATCCATCATTAAATTCAGTTTTGCAATGGTAATGTGGGAAATTCAACATCACCAGAAACCCTATGCTGATCTAACCGCTAATCAAATTAAGACGAAAATTCTCGCTGGCGAATATCCTGAACTTGCGCCTATGACCGGGACTCCGAAAGAATTTCAGCGTATAATGGAACAGGCGTGGTCTTTTTCATCCGGCGAGCGTCCTAGCACACAATCGTTATACATCTCCCTTAATGAACTATACCTCGCCTATCTATCCCTACAAGTAAAATTAATTGGTGTTGAAGAGGCTAGTAACAACCATGCATCGAACAGTTTGACACGGCTTGATAGTATCTCGAACGGTTTCATTACGAGAAACAATGGTTTTAGTAAGAGTTACAATCCATTTATCGAGAAATCACCAGAGATCGAAAATGGAATTCGATATCATAACGAAAGAAATTATAAAAAAGCGTGGAAGATATTCCGGGAATATGAAAATCGCTCCCACGATCCGGAAGCAATGTATTGGGTTGGTTATTACTATATGAAGGGTTTGCATGATAAAAGAAATAAAAAACCGGATCGAGTAAAAGGTATGTCTTATCTAAGCACCGCGGCGAGCCTTGATCATGCCGAATCACAATTTTTATACGCCACCACAATACTTAAAACATCACAAGCGGCCAAAGAGCACGAGAATAATAGATATAATTATGCGATCTGTTGTTTAAAGAAGGCAGCGGCACATAATCATCCAAAAGCATTAAGAGACTTTGGGGAGATTATTAAGTATGGGAAATATAATCAAAAGAAGGATGCGTCTTTGGGCAATAAAATGATTGAGAGGTCTGGTGAAATTTTCAATATGATTCGAGCAGAAAGACAAAAAAAACATTTTACTTTAAAGGGGACGATAAACTTGAATTCAAGGTGAAAAGTAGGGTTAGATGTAAAAATAGAGGCGCGAAAATCGCAAAACTAGGTCAGTTCATATCACGTGACACGATATTTCGTCGCGAACTGAAAGCCTACGCGAAAAATTAGCTATCCTTATGCAACAAGGAGCAATCGGAGTAAGACAAAAGTCACGGTCAGGCATTGGTGAATATATGAGTAATTATTTTCGAAGCCGGACAGGGATTTTTCTGTTTTTATAATTGTACTCCTAGAATTTATATTTCATACAGTATGTATTATTCAATAGGAGTGATATTATGGTAAACATTATGTAATAACCCAATGTCACAATGTACTGCATAGTAATACATTGATGTCATTAATAAAGACAAGTTTTTGATATACAGTATAAGACAGATTTGAATAAACTTTCGTAAGAAGACTCACCCTATTGATATTACGGGTTACACGAGCTTTGATAATCAGCCGTTTATCCCGCAAGAACATTTGCCTATCTCACTAATAATCAAGTGCTTGACACTATCCGTTGTTTATTACGCGAAAATGGTTGGTTGCATTTTGATAGTTTCCAAGATAATAAATAATTTGGAATTGATTTCCTGAAAATAAGATCCTATTGTATATGTTGCGGTGACATCATGAATCATTGGTTTGTTTGTTTATTAGAAGCACTTAAATAAGCACGAATATATTTGACAGACTGTAAATGCGGCATACAGTTTATCGAGATTGAATTAATCAAAAACAACATCCGACGCAAAGTTAAAATAGTGAATCAATCAACTTTGACCCACAAACTTATAATAAATATATGCCGAAAACCTACATATTTGTTAACCAGAATTTCTAAAATTACACCAGAATTTAAAGATTATGCATCAACTGAACTAATGATTTTATTTTAGGGCTTAATAAAAATTAAAATACTGTATATTGTATATACTGTATATACGTACTGTATGTATGATGTATCATATAATTTTTTTTTAAATAAAAGTATATAATATAAGGCTCGTGTAACAATATTGCTCATCATTACAATTTCGTTTCCATAATCCTCACACAATAAAGCATTCATTGTTGGTCCGTAACAGACTTTGTGAATCTGGGTTTGCGGGGCTAGTTGACTTGAGAGTGTTCCTTCCGGTCGTTCTTCGAAGATCGCGCCGTTCCTTATCCCAACATTATCCTGAAAATTAATTGGCAAAAATATAATGCAAATTTGTCGCAAAAATGAAATAGGAATTAATTACTTTAAAATAAATTGATATTTTCATAAACCAAACGTGATACTTAAAAAGATAAAAAAAAATTTTATTATTATTATTATTTCGATATAAATGTATCGTAGTAAAAAAAGAAATAAATGAATTAAGCATAAAGTTAAAAATAAGAAGCGATCATCACTTCTTGGTATCGGTACTAAATTCGGTTAGTGTTAACCCGATTGGTGTATCAACGGCATGTCATTACATAACAGTTTCTTTTCCTTTAGATGGCAGATTTCTAGCTGGGTTCCGAGCAAAGATTAATGTCAATATAATCGTTATGGTTTTAATACATTCCGTGGCCACTAACAAAACGGAAGGATGGCATTATTTCCAAATATATATATATATATATATACACCTTTGAGTGGTATATTGGTACCAACTATTGACGCAATCATATCCCGCTAGGCATACAGGGAGCACTTTGTACTTAATTACGTGGGCTCATCATAAATTAATAAATAGCATTTTTGCGAGGAAACAATAAATAATACAAAAAGTTAGATGGAGACTGTAGATAACATTTGAGTCTGATTCGTGTTGAAGATGTGGTGGATAAGTATTATGACCAATGTGCTAGGCAATTTACACATATTTATTAAGATATACAGTAAATCTGCAATAATAACCCCAGTATGAAAGACAGACATGAGATTTCTGGAAATCTTCCGTTTGACCTTCCCTTTTAACAAATTCACACTTTGCAAATAGTTCATTAAACAGGTTACATAAAATTCTGATGATGAGTTCGACTTAGTGATAAAAAATGCACGCATACAATGTCGCGTGTTAAATGATATAAAATATTAATGCATAGATATCATAACGACTCTACTTAATCAAATGAACACAAAGTGCACAATTTGATATGCGTGCACCCCCTGGTAACCTATTGAAGGATCATCAATTTTGAAACCGTCACGAGTACTAGGCTCGACAAAATCGGCAATTTGACACAATAGGTAAAACTTGGACAATAACAAAAAAATAAGATTTCTATTTATAATTTTGTTGGCAAGTGATTTGCTAATTTTTTTTTTTTTTTTTTTTTTTTTTTTTTTTTTTTTTTTTAACGCTGGCTCATCCTTACTTTATTTGCTGTATAATTAATAGAAAATTACATACAGTACATAATAACTCTTTTAAAGAGAACTAACTTGTTAAAGCTGGGTTAGTGCTATATGAAATTTCTAATTTTTTTTTTTTTTATAGATGCTAGCTTATCCATGAATCATAGCAATATTTTATTATAATAAAAATCATATCTAGGGATAATCGGGATGAATAATTATCTGTACTGTCTAAGAATTTACAGATTAGCAAATAATACATAAAACCAACTATTTATATTTTATTCCATCAAGATAGAGTAACTACATGGGCATCTAGTATAGATATTTTTCTTTACTATAACAAACTAACTAGACATCAAAAATTGAATACTGAGACCTAATATGCCATAACACTTTTTAGGTCTTGAATCTATTGAGTCCAAATCTACCAAGCAGCTTATCACTATCCCCTAAGAAGAAAAGTTAATGTGTCAAGAATTTATTTAAGGTACTCAATATCACCGATATTGAGATCTCTTATATAGAACCTTAAGAAGAGGTAGAGATATATATAGATCTTATCCAAAGAACATTATAATTGATATTGATATTGTTAATTTATAGTAAAAAAATAGATATATCAAAATCCTCCAAAAAGATAATACCCAAGTTGTTGGTTCACATTTGTTGAATAAGAGATAAGAAAATTTTATTTATTCAATATGTTCTATTGCAGCTTATTCTTTTCTAATAGCCATTGACATAGGAGATTCCATATCTTATATCTATCTACATTCAGAATAAAGTGATTTATAGTGAATCCCAGATTCTTATAGATACTAAAAAAAAATATATAGACACATAAAATGATCAATAGAAGCTTGTTTACTTTTTTTACTAATATAAGCTTTTTCTATCCAATTATGATATGAGAAACTTTATGCTACTCAAAATTTAGGGTTAAATTAGGATAGACAAAATTCCTTAAAAAAAATTAAAAATAAGTATTATTAAAGTGAACAATATGACTGAGAGATTGAGAAAGTTCTTCCTCGTCATTATATTAGCTCTGTATTGTTTTTCTACAGTATGAGATGATGATAAATGGTCTAGAATCCAAAAACCTGAAAGTCTGGCATGAAAGATTGAGTGTCACAAGGTAAGAAACTATAGATAAGACTTGAGTATTGATAAGAGAATTATATGTATCTGAAAAAGTTTGGAAAGTTTAGCAAAGCTTAGGGTTAGTATAATCGATTATAAAATAGATAGCCCATTGTTAGTTAGAAAAGTATAAATAACTTACCAATGTATATCGATAAGGTAGAGCTGAATGTGTTAGAAAAAATAGTCCTTATTGAGAATAGAGATAAGAGTTAGTGATATATCAAAGAAATAGAATATAACAAAGAGATACTTACTTTCAATCAAATCAATCACTACACCTCTACCTTCTCTAAGTGTTCTTTATAGGAGACGTTTTCTTCTTTGTGTCATTTGTGAGTATTCGTAAGAAGTCTAGGTTATGTGAGGTAATACGGATTAGCGATGGACTTACTGGGATAGCCCATAACAATAGGAAAGGTGTTTTTTGACTTATTATAATTACTAAAAGTTAAAGTTTTTGTTTGAAGAGAATGATAAACAAGAAAAGAAAAGAGTATTGATAATTTTTAAAGTGTCTTTAAGTTAATTTAAAGAAAGTGATAAAAATTTATTAATCTAAAGGTATAAAAACTTCTTGTAAATATCTTTTTTATATATAATCTGAAGATCAATAAAAAAAGTTGATATAAAATTTTCAATAAATAATATAAAGTTAATTTTTTTTTTAACCACAACTGGTATTAGATACGAGTTGTTTATTGATAATTAAATCTTAAGCATTACATCAATCATCTCATACATATATATGCAGATTAATAATAACCTATCGTGGCTTGTCCTAGGCAGACCTGCTTGAAACCCACCTGCAGGTGGGCACACCTGACTAGAAGCCAGATGGTTAATAACAGTCATCAATGGCGATATTGGTATAGTTAGCTAATTCTGTTACTAAGGGACTATATTGCTATACTAACTTATACACTAGTATCAAATCCTTAAGGGTTAATTTAACTATTCAGATACTCTGATATTTTTCACTTGAACCTCGGAAGGAATTTCAATCTTCTTTGTCACCACCTGCGGCATCATAGACAAGTTCTGTTCAACAGGTCCTTCATTTAAGCAAGCACCAGATTGGGATATTCCAAGTTAGGGTAGTCAGATTCTAGAGTCTGCTGGTATAGTTTGGGATAGGGAATGTTCAAATGATTGCTGCAGTCCTAAAAGCGGGGTTCCAGAGTCTGCTGGTACAGTTTTGGGTTAATGTTATGTTCAGATGATTACCGCAGTCCTAAAAGTAGGGTCCTAGGGTTTGTTTCCTGTTCAGTTTAAGGAGTAGGTCAGGCATAATTCGTGTAATCAGACCAGAGGCCTTTCTTCATGCAATCCTCATGGTAGATCTTTTTTAGCCTAGCGATCAACAGGAAGGCCAGAAGTCCCATCCTCATGCAACCTGATTGTTTTTTTCTCACATAGCCCTTGTGTGATATTGAACTCTGGACCTTGTAATTGTAACCTGGGTGTACTACCACTGTCCTATAGACCCACAGGTCTTATTTTTTTTTTTTAAATAGGCTTATGCCAATCTTTATTAATTTTTAAATTACATTTTATACAATTGCGCAAAGTGCATACACAAGAGTATATATTTGGGATGAATAAAGAATTCGATAAGTTAAAGCTACTTCAAAACTTA